GGAGAACAATTGCAGTTTCCTAAGGTAGAGGTGGAGAACAATGGCCCTTTTAGGACCTGTGGACTTCGACTCCCAGAATTCTTGAGCCAGGCATCATTCCCTCATGCTGGCCCAGCAATTCTGGGAGTTGAAGTCCAGAGGTCATTAAGGGCCCATCGTTCCCTCATGCTGCCTCAGGAATTCTGGGAGTTGAAGTCCACAGCTCATAAAAGGCCCATCATTCCCTACCCCTATTCACAGGGGATCCGGAGACAGACATTGGCACGCCCCTTCCTGCCTTATCTCTCCTTTATATTCCCCTTCTTTCATCAACATTTTAGCGAGATTTATCTCTAGTCAAAGCATAAAATACGATTTTATCTTTGATACAAGCAAGATAATCTTCTGTCTGATTAACCATGTACATATTTAGGGTTGATGCTCCAATTTAAAATGCGCCAGCACTGAAATACTTTCCAAGGAAATATATATATCCTCTCCAATTTTACAGCATCCGCTGGCTGAAACAAAGGCTACCTTATTTTAAAATAGACACTTCTCTCCTCTCAGCTGGAACCAAATATCTTAACTAAAACAGTCACTCCCCAAACATTTGTGGCTTAATTAGCCATGGCATTTCTTTGTTCCTAGATCACATTGAGACAGGCCTGTATCTATACTGCACAGCTTCCGTGTTCCTTCGTGAGTTGAACCAATCTTATTCCTGCAGAGATCAATAATATGTTCTTTTTTGGGGGGTGGGGGTGGGAAATAGCAATCGGCCTTAGATTTATCTACCGCTTCACAGTGCTTTTACAGCCCTTTCTAAGCCATTTATAGAGTCACACCTCTTGCCCCCAGCAATTTGCATCCTCATCTTACCGACCTCAGAAGGATGGCAAGCTGAGTCAACCCTCAGCGGTCAGGATCGAACTCCTGGCAGTTGGCAGAATTAGCCTGCAATACTACATTCTAATCACTGAGCCACCAGGAAGGAGAATGAGAAAGGGAATTAAGGGAGGGAGGGAGGGAGGGAGGGAAGGAAGGAAGGAAGGAAGGAAACAGCAATAGCCCTTAGACTTATATACAGCTTCACAGTCTTTTCCAGCCTTCTCTAAGCGGTTTATAGAGTCAGCCCCTTGCCCCCAACGATCTGGGTCCTCATTTGACCCACCTCGGAAGGATGGAAGGCTGAGTCAACTTTCAGCCGGTGAGGATCAAACTCCTGGCAGTGAGCAGTGTCAACCTGCAATGCTGCATTCTAACCACCGCGCCACCAGGCTCTTACAAGAGGGAGAAAGAAAGAGAGAATAAGAGAAAGAAAAAGGAGGGAGGGGGGGGAAGAAAAGAAGGAGAGAAAAAGAGAAAAGAAATAAGAGATGGAGGGACCAGGAGAGAGCAAAAATGGGAAAAAGAAGAGAAGGAAGAAAACAGTAGAGGGAAGGAAAGGAACAGAAAGGAAAGGAAAGGAAAGGAGGGTGGGAGGGAGGGAAGGAGGAGAAAGAAAGAAAAAAGAAAGAAAGAAAGAAAGAAAGAAAGAAAGAGAAAGGGCGAAGGAAGGAAGGAAGGAGAGGGAAGAAGAGGGAGAGAAAAAGAGAACGGAAATAAGAGACAGAGGGAGCAGGAGAAAGGAAAAAATGGGAAAAAAGGGAAGGAAGGAGACAGCAGAGGGAAGGAAAGAAAAGAAGAAATGAAAAGGAGGGAGGAGATGAAAGAAGAGGGAGAGAAAAAGAGAAAGGGAAATAAGAGAGGGAGGGAGGAGGAGAAAGTAAAACATGGAAAAAGAAGGGAAAGATGAAGACAGCAGAGGGAAGGAAGGAAAAGAAAGGGAGAAAGAAAAAGACGCAAAGGGAGGAGAGAGGGAGGGAAGTGGGGAAAGAGAGAGAATAGCAATAGCACTTAGACTTATATATCACTTCACAAGTGCTTCGGGAGCTGAAAACCTAGAAGAAACTCAAGTGGCCGGCTAGTCTCCGAGGGAGAATCACAACTAAGCTGCAACTCCCACACAGACGCAGAGGTGCACACCAGACTTCGCAACTCCATGCACATACTTACCACTTGTACTTACGAACTTCGTACTTGTACAGATCGTCCGTCAGCCTGTATTTGTTAGCGCTGAAGGCCTTGTAACCCCCGTGCGTATAGATGGAGTGGGAGCTCTCGTCGTAGACGCTGCTGTGGCCGTAGCCCCCTTGCACCAGGGCTCCTCGGGTTTGTAAAATGCTCCAGGTGTTGGTGGCTGGGAGAGAAGGAAAGGGCGGAGGTGAGCGAGGAGACGGAAGCGTCGCAGCGAGACCGGCTGGGGGGAAAAAGCAAGCTCTGCTGAGCCTCACGGAAATCCAGCCGGACAAACTGCTGTCGGGAGGCCTTCGGACTGAAACCCGTCCTGGAGGGACAGCGGAGAGGAAGAGACGCCTCTGAGGACCTAGAGCTGTGATGGCGAACCTATGCCATGTGTGCCACAGGTGGCACATGGAGCCATATCTGCCGACACGCGAGCCGTCAGCTCCAGGGTTCATGTGCATGCTGATTTTTGGCCTTCCGGAGGGCCAGGAGAAGCCGTTTTTGCCCTTCCCAGGATTCAGGGAAGCCTCCGGAGCCTGGGGAGGGCAAAAAATGGGCCCAAAGTTCGTTTCTGAACTTCCGGTTGGCCCACTGGCCCCATTTTTAGCAATAGCAGTTAGACTTATATACCGCTTCATAGGGCTTTCAGCCCTCTCTAAGCAGTTTACAGAGTCAGCATATATCGCCCCCACAGTCTGGGTCCTCATTT